TGCCCACCCCTTCCCAAGACAAATGCCCACACCCCCTGCCCACACCTTTCCCCCAAGACAAATGAGATGCACATGCCATCCTCCCACCCCCTGCCCACACCTATCCCCCAAGACAAATGAGATGCACATGCCATTCTCAGACACCCCCCGAGACACCCCCTCCTCAGACCCCCCATCCCCTCGAGACCTTCCCCGAGAAATGAGATGCACATGCTATTTCTCTCCATCCCCACCCCCTGCCCACACCTATCCCCCGAGACAAATGAGATGCCCATGCCATTCTTCCATCCCCACCCCCTGCCCACACCTATCTCCTGAGACAAATGAGATGCACATGCCATTCTCAGACCCCCACCCCCTCCCCAGACCTATCCCCCGAGACAAATGAGATGCCCATGCCATTCTTCCATCCCCACCCCCTGCCCACACCTATCCCCCGAGACAAATGAGATGCCCATGCCATTCTTCCATCCCCACCCCCTGCCCACACCTTTCCCCCGAGACAAATGAGATGTACATGCCATCCCCCCACCCCCTGCCCACACCTTTCCCCAAGACAAATGAGATGCACATGCCATTCTTCCATCCCCACCCCCTCTTCATCTTACCCCCAAGACAAATAAACTCAGAGCAGTCTGTTTACCAGTTAGCCTGTAGTTGATGTCAAACCCCAATATATCCGGCTTGTGATACATTGTTTACAAACTTGAAATTATCTATTATTAATTATAGATTAATAATAGTGTAACAAGAAAGTAAATTTACGAGTCAAGTGGAGCTTATTAAGAAATAATAATAATAATAATTAAACAAAAAATATAAATAAATGGTTCAAATATTGGGACATTTATTAACGCCTACAGGCACTTTCGTCTAGATAAAGTTTCTTAACAAAATGAGAATTGTCAAAACTGCGGACACAAAAATAATTAATGAGACTGAGTCTGTTATTGACAAAAGAAAAACGCCATTTATGAAGCAAAGTTAATAAATCAAACAAGCAAAGCATGCGAATCTGTGTCCTGACAACATTTTAACGCCGTCCGGTCAGCAACTGAAAAGTAACCTGCCTGTTGCGCTGAACTAGTGGGCGGTGCTTGGTTTTTGTGAAGCAAAGAGCCAACATTTAATTATGTTTTAAAATAGGAAACGTACTCTTGTGAGAGTTAAACTGATCAGACAGGTTTATCACAATCAATGTTTAACAATTTCAACAGCATTTCCATACGTAACCATCCTCAGTCAGGCAATGGTCTTCGTATATCAGTTCTCTGATTTTGACAAGGAGTTTATCATTAAGAATAAAAACTAGAGGTCTAATTTCATATAAACACATTTTAAATACCCCATGAAAATCTGTGCAAGAGATAAACATTTATCCCCATAAACCCTATCATCAAATTAGCGATTGTAAAATACATTTTCACAGTTTACAATTTAATAATCGTGTTTTTCTCCATGCTGCAAACGTAACAAAGCAACTATTACTGTTTGAACTAAATAGTGGGTCATTTTGATGTTTACCAGACGACGTTGACCAAGTCATAGATGGATAGGCCTGTCTGGGTGACATGTTTTGCTTTACGGATTTAGTTTTTGCATGGGTCATAACAGAATCACAATTTGATGAGCGGACTACACATATATGTATGTACACACAGGCACACAAGTTTTAGGGAATTTTATTTTTCACTCTTAACTACGTAATTTTAGCGTATGAAGCTAAATAGTTGTAATATTAACGGCTCGGTTGTTTTGTAGGACAACCATTACTAACTTGGATTATTTGGCGACAGTAGACATTTAGTGAAATATTAGTTTCGAAAAATTAATTGGCTTTGTATCGGCAGGAGCACTTTCATGACACATTCCTATATCTCCATAAGTCATCTTATCATAAACAACATTACAAGACTTGTAATGGAGTCGCGATGTAGTGACATAGTGGTTAGACGCTCACCTGTCGGCCCAAAGGTCCAGGGTTACAATCTGAGGCAGATTTGTCTCATCTGCCAAAATTGACCATTAGCTCTCAGGTCGACCCAGCTTACAATGGGCACCAGGTAATGGTTAGGAAAGTCACGGCAGCCGGTTAAATGTTTACCACATCGGCCATTGAATGTCGACTGGTGTATATTTGTAGGTCTAGCACTATATGACCGATGTGCTACAGACGTGAAAACATCCTCTAATACTTACTGTACTAGGAACGCTGTCCAAAGACAGCAGGAGTAAGAGCGATTTTGACTGCAGGAGTCGAGCAAATAATCCAGTTTCATGTGGACGTCTGCTAATGGCGCTTTGACTGCAGCTATCGTCGTCTCCTTGTGGGTTGCAATTTTTTTTTAGTTATCTTTAAGCCCCACCCTGGTTCTAGCCAGGGACCCTAATATAGCCCGGCAATGAATGTGGCCAAACGACTGAACGCGGTTTCCGGGACCACTCCAAGAATGATTCTCAACCGCATGATGAGAATTGGTTTTATCAGGCGTTTATCGCTTGTGTGATGTCCTGGTGGAGTTAGATGTACTACTGCTGCTACGCTTTGACTGATATTACCGTTTACAGTTTCTCTTAGCTGACATCTTAGAGTTGCACAAGTCACTGTTTAATAGCGAAGTGCCGAGAAAAAGAGGTACCGGTCATCATGTCTATTGGTGCATCTATAATGTAGGGCGTCCTGGCTGGTGGTGATCCTCAATACTTCCTGTAGTCTGATCTCTCAGAAATTATTTTTGTAGTAAGGTGCGACACTGCGAGCCGTCTAGCACTTCAAGGATAGATAAACCACTCCCAGCCAGCGCTATAGCACTCATTCTTTGTGTGATAAGACGTCTTCTCGATGGCATGGATTTTGCAAATGATAGAACAACCTTTAGTCAGCTTGCTGATTGTTAGATTGCTGGTCGTTTCAACTAAAAATTGGTGAACTTTGTTCTGCTCTGTCAGGCTGTCCCAGTCCATTCATACCATCTACATTCCTGCATATCAGAACCACACGTGTTAACAGTATTTCTTTCTGTGGCAAATTTTACATGGTACCCTTAGAATCATCATCATCATAGAGATCTCGTTCCTTGGTATCCGGATGATTTTCCACATGCCATCTTTCAGATCATCAAGCTGATCTCTCACGTCATCACGATATTCTCCAATGTCTCTCTTCTCATCACATGATAGAAGAAGACTGATTACCTCTTTCTTATTGTTGTATATTTTTTTTCTAATGTCACCTAGGGATGACACGGCTTATAGGTGTGTAATCTGCTGCTCGAATTTGTTGATTACTTAGAAGTGGAAGAAGGTCCCACCATGAGATTGCTTGCACATCTGCTTGCTTTGGTATGCATCCTGACATATGTCTCGGGTGGAAAAAACACCAATGAGACCAAAGCGAAGGAGTTTTTGGCGACCTACAATGAACTTGCTGCGGGAATCTTCAGACGCTACAAGCTAAAGGAATGGGCAACATTCGAGAACAACAGCGTTAGGAATCGACAGCTCTTAGTGAGTTTTGTATTTTTAACTACTCATCAATAATCTCAACTAATCTAGAGCCTGTTGTATTTCATGGTGCTGAGGTGAAGTATACACTGAGGTGAGGGCCCCGCATTTTTAATCACAGTAAACCCTCGTCAAAAAGAATCTGCTTAAGAAGAACACACAGTTAACATGAACAAAGTTTTGGTCTATCATGAACTTGTCATTGTTATTAGTAGGTAGCTGGCTGCGACGAATTATTTAAAACTTGAACGTGATGTTCGGTCCCTCGAACTCGAGTAAACCAGGATCTACTACATTAGGAAACACCCCCCATCCTCCATCCCTTTTTGTGTTCCCACTCCCACTTCCCTGCAGTTTACTTATTTGAGTTAACGTTTAACACAATGGACAATGAAACCAACCAATCAAATCTCTTTCTGAAATGTTCCTTGTATTCTAGACACAGCATTGCCCTCCGATGTGTTTATAATTGTTGTCGCTCTTGTTATTCCACCTAGACTTTGTTAACATTAATTTCTGTTATTTGTGGTGCCACTTCAATGGTTCGAGACGCATTCTCTCCGTATTCAGTAGTTGTAGATTTTAAGCTGTACGATAGACATGGCCAATGGAGACACATTTTTGGGTGTGCCCCAAGGATCTTAGTACACTTGTTTAAATAGTAAGGTGCACATGCTTGAACACAATATCTTCGCACAGGCAGTCAAGAGTCTAGCCACTACATTAGCCAGGTTCCTGTGTGAATTATTGCAGTTTATAAATGTATCATTCTCGATCTCATCGTTGCTGTCATAATTACTATTATAACCTCTTGTATCGGACCCTTACCATTCTTGCAGAACAGGCTGCACCAGTCATATTTTTTTCCTTCATTGATCACCATGCCAACTCTCCCCAAGTCTGAACATATCAATGCAAGAAATCCGACTTACGTCGCATTAATCCTTGTATGTGTTCCGGGGCCCTATTGTAGGGAAAGCAAGAATCCCCAACCTTCACAAACAAGTATGTCGTATGAGTTGATTAAATGGGGCTTCCTTCGGTATGAGTGCATCTGCCTGAGAGACAAAGAACCAACAGTTTGCTGACAAATACCAAGATCTGTAAAATTTGATGGCACTCAGGTTCTGGAACATGACTAAATTAAATCCGGAGGTGGACGAACGTCACTAACTTTAGGCTGGAGATTACAGCTGGTGAACGCGAAGAAGAAAAAGAAGAAGTGTTACAGTAAGATATTAGATTCGACGACCGAACTGAACTGTATTCCGAAAGAGACCCTCCTAAAATAAGGGCTCTTATAACGACTATATCAAATACTACCTAAGTGTTCCGTTACAAGCACCCCCCTCCCCCTCATCCATCAACCCTATTATACTTTCAATTGCTGTTGAACGGGGGTTGTCTTAAAAACTTAGCCTTTAAAGCTGACATTCGGAATACGACGTTATGGATCGCACGGCGATCAAATCTTCAGGTCGCTGTTCGGAAAAGGAAAAAGCAGTCAGTCCATCACCAGTCTGCAGTAAGGCCGTGGCTTAAGGGGAAGAATAGCCAATCCCTTACCAGGCTGCAGTAGGGCCGTGGCTTAAGGGGAAGAATAGTGAGTTCCTCACCAGGCTGCAGTAGGGCCGTGGCTCAACGGGAAGAATAGTCAGTCCCTCATCAGGCTGCAGTAGGGCCGTGGCTTAAAGTTAAGAATAGTCAGTTCCTCATCAGGCTGCAGTAGGGCCGTGGCTTAAGGGGAAGAATAGTCAGTCCCTCATCAGGCTGTAGTAGGGCCGTGGCTTAAGGGGAAGAATAGTCAGTCGCTCACCAGGCTGCAGTAGGGCTGTGGCTTAAGGGGAAGAATAGTCAGTCCCTCACCAGGCTGTAGTAGGACCGTGGCTTAAGGGGAAGAATAGTCAGTCCCTCACCAGGCTGTAGTAGGGCTGTGGCTTAACGGGAAGAATAGTCAGTTCCTCACCAGGCTGCAGTAGGGCCTTGGCTTAAGGGGAAGAATAGTCAGTTCCTCACCAGGCTGCATTAGGGCCGTGGCTTAAGGGGAAGAACAGTCACTCAGGTTCCGCTTCCACAATTCATCACCAACAATGGATTGTCAAAATTCTTGTTCTATTGATCTGCTCTTCAAATCTCCGTTTCGTCCACCTCTTGCTCTCTCACTTATTTGGCTACTTCTTGCTTTCACCTTTTTCCCCCTTGCGAGTTTTTGTAATAAAGGAAATATGTCTTGTAATATTGCTGCTCACTGATGCTGTTATTAGATAAATAGAAACTCTGCGCTGGCTGTTGAAGATAAGAACCAAGAGCTTTTGAGAATGTCCCAGCTGCTGGGATGTTACTCAGTCCCAAGCATAGCTTACTTCAACTCTTTTTAAATAAAGGGGGCGAGCTTAAATTCAATGCATATTTAGGTATGGACAGATCAACAGAGACACAACTGGGTAGAGGCAGCTGAACTAATAATTTAGATACAAAGGCTTAACATAACATTTGTCTTCATAGAAAGTAGAAAAAAAAAAGTATATCTTCTTTTTTCTTCACGTTCGCTGGCTGTTAACTCTAGCCGAAAGTTCTGGCTGTTCGTCCACCTCTGGACTAAAGTCTTTTTCCAGAACTTGAGTTTTGCATGCATATGCGTTTTACAGATCTGACTCATTTGTATCTAGGCAGCTGATTCCTTGCGTCCTATGCAGATATACGCTAACTTCAAAGCAAGCTCACAGTTAGTCGACTCTTACGACATGCTTGTCGGGGAGGCAGTGAGTCTATTCTTGTTTTCCCCACAGTGGGGAATCTGAACCCACACAGGGAAAAGAGTATATTAATTTTCTGATTGACAAAGTAACGTATAGTATTGTTTTTGCTGCTTAAGGAGTTCATTCAATTTAACTGAAACCATGTTGTCGAAATGCTTCACACGGCTCCTGTTTATTTCCTGCATTAACCCTCCCATGTACCTGTCTGTGTAACATTAACTGAAATACTTGTGTATGTAGAGACACGAAGGCAGGTTAAAAATAACGTTCATGAGATATATGCGAGTTCAAGCTTTAGAGTTCAAACTTTCTGCCATGAGTGCAGATACTCAACGACAGCTTTTTAAGATCAGGAACATAGGAATCGCTGCACAATCGGATGAGGACAAACTTAATGAGGTGGGTACACGTTTTACTATTGAAAAAAAAATTTTTTTTTGTTTGTTTAAATATAACTATTATTTATTTCTTTATATTGTTTCAGCTCTGTCAGTTCCATGAAGTAGTTATTTTAATGCGTTGGATTCTTCTTCTTTTTGTTAGTCAAAGTTTTGTAATCCCGCTGTGTCTGTTTTTAGCAGAACTGCGATATAAGCATCTTTCGGCCGACACATACGACTTGATCGAGCATTTGTTGACCAGATTAATTGCCGGCTCTCCTTGCAATAACTTTCGCTAGTTGGATGGCGACGGTCGCTTAGTCGGAGTTCAGTCCCCTGGCTGCAGTGCAATTACGGAGTGGAAAAGAGGGAACGAAACAAATGCCATAATTAGGGCTAGGGGTAGGGTTAGGGGTAGGGTTAGGGTTTGGGTTAGGGTTAGGATTAAGGTTGAGGTAACACATGTAACTAAGTCTTGCGTCGCAAGAACGCGGTCGCTAATGTGAGTCGCAGCGCGTGGTCTAGAAGCCATTTTGAGCTCACTTTGTTTTGTGATTCGTGCCTTGTCCACCTGAAGTATGTTAGATGTTCTTTGGAGCTGCGGGATACCACCTAGACCATTGCGAGCCAACATCTCAATACTTTAACTACTTCAGGGTTTCTTTTTGGTTCATTTGTGGAAACCCTAACACAGATACGTGACACCAGCGTTATGTGACAATCAGTCTAACGAGAGCCGGAGTATTTATATCGACATTTTATCTCTGAGGGCCAATAACTCCAACATCCCTATAAACTTGGTTTATACTCCTTGGTACATGACAGGAACATGTGGGAGGAGTCGTGCACCAGGATCTGTAAAACCAGCACAGAGCAAGCTGGTGAGATACCCAAGGTGAGATACGGAGTAACTCCCCATACACATCACAATGGCCTTAACTTGCTCTCACGCATGTGAACGAAAACACGCTATTATTAATTCAATTTCTGTGAATTGGGCGCTAGAGTACCTTTGCTTTTATTTGGTGTCTGAATTTGTAGTCACCAACCCAGAGCAGAGGGCAACTACAGTTAGCAGTTGATGTGGACAAGGCACACACGGTTAATAGCCGGATTAGCCGTTATGATGTCAGGATTAAAACTTTTCAGGAAATTAAACTGGGCACATCTTTTTTGATCTGTTAGATGTATATAAAAAATGAGGTTCACTGGGTGGCTGAAATAATAAACTAAAACATTCTCGTCCTACTCCTACTTCCCTTCCTTCTCTTCCAACTCCTCCTGTTCATTATTTTTATTTTTATTTTTATTATTGTTACTTTAAATAGTAATACGGGAAAGGAGGGGAGGCGTAGAGAAAGGAGGAAGGAAATATTGATTTTTACAGAAGTAATCTTATCATACACTTTTTTTTTGGTCCGATAGCTGGTAACTGTCTTGACAGTGATGGAAGAAACTGTCATCAACGCAAAATACTGTAGCATTCTAACGGATAGTTGTGATTACAATCAGCCAGGTGAGTTCCGAGTCTCTGATGTTTTATAGTCACATCACTGTTCAGTGTTATCCAGACTTGTGATGTCGGCGACACACTTTTGGACATAATTTAGAGACACAGTAAATAAATCAAGTGCGGGATAAAAGGTAACAAGAGGTTAAACCAGTGGTCTCCAAACTTTTTCAGGTCGAGCACCCTTAAGTATTTGACAAGGCCCCGCGACCCCTTTAGTATATGGCAAGACCCCAACGCTCGCCTTTAGTATATAAAAAGACCCCTCCTCCCCTTTTTCCCACGCACGCCCACTTTAAGTATTAAGACCCACAACGCTCCCTTCAAACATACGAAAATGTGATATAAAAGTGTTAAGGAGATTCCGCAAGATGGCGAACGGAAAGTTTAGGGATAAGTTTTGGTGAGAATTTTGTTGTAAATAAAAAATATTAATAAAATATATCCTCTACATTTCGTTTTATAAGTAGTAAAAAAAAAAAAAAAAAAATAATAATTAAAAAAATCATTTCATGTATAATTGAACTGAAAACAAAAATATTATAAATTTTTGGAATATACAAATGCACTCAGTTTCAAAATTGCTTCCAGGATGTCAACTGAATTATAGAGATAGCAATGATGATCACTGCAATTATGATGACCGACATGGTACATCATACATCTGCCTACAGAAACAAGCATGAACTGAAAAAAAAGCGAAATAATAAGATCACATTTTTTTTTTCAAGGTGCATTTAAACAAAAAGGAAAGTAATTAAAATGAATGAAACCGAAACGGGAATACTACAGTTTAAAAAAAAAAAAAACCCATTGTTACCAGTGAGATTTCACCAGTGCCAGCAATGGACAGACTAATTATAAGGGAGAAAATATACAGAGACATACTCGCCAGGATAGTTAACAAGGCCACAAGAACAGAGGGGAGTACCAGGGCTATGTGATGAGAAGGAGGTTCTGCTGACGAGTGCTAAATGTTCTTTTGTGTAAAATAAACAATATGCTAACGAGGAGCGGCTGGCCGAAAGGTTAGCACGCTTGGCTCTCGGGTTCGAATCCTAGGTAAGCCTGAGGATTTTGTTCACAGGGGCAAAATAAAATGCTCACCTGTCGTAATTCCTAAGGCAACAAGACCCCCCGACCCCCTGCCTACATCGCAAAAGTGGTATAAAAAAGACAGCAATTGGCAGTTTGGTAGTTGGTTGCTGGGCCCATTTGGTAGAAAAACGAATAGGCTAAACGCTCCTTAACAAGCATGCCGCAAAATTCGACTAATTAGGGGAGTTTCCTTCAATCTCAGTGCATCTGCAAGAGACGAGAGGAAAAAACCTTCAACCTCAGTGCATCTGCAAGAGACGAAAGGAAAAACCTTCAGGCTCAGTGCATCTGCAAGAGACGAGAGGAAAAACCTTCAGCCTCAGTGCATCTGCAAGAGACGAGAGGAAAAACCTTCAGCCTCAGTGCATCTGCAAGAGACGAGAGGAAAAACCTTCAGGCTCAGTGCATCTGCAAGAGACGAAAGGAAAAACCTTCAACCTCAGTGCATCTGCAGGAGACGAGAGGAAAAACAGTCTCCATATAAGTAGGTCAGATCTACAACACTGATATGCACGCACAACTAAAGTTTGGAAACAAGAACAAATTCCAGAAGTGGTCGAGCAACCAGACACCCCCACCCCCGGTGAACGCTAAGAAGAAAAAACAAAAACATACTTAGAAACTTGTTTGACAATTCTATGTTGCAGGAGTCCTTCTTCCGAACTTCAATCAGAACTTTTTATCTACAGTCTGGACTAGTTGGCGAAACAACACAGGGAGGAAGATAAAAAATCTATTTACAAGTTATGTAGCTCTAAGCAACGAGGCTGTTCAACTCTCAGGTTAGATGGTTCGGTTCCAGTTTTGGTTCTTAGCCTCCCTCCCCCTCTTTTTTTTTTGGATGGGAGGGGAGCGGTGTAGGCCTGGGGGTAGAGAGAGGAGATTGATAGATTTACTGTCTGTTTACAGGCATGTCTTTAATGTTAACTACTTAGGGGTTTGTTGAGATCAGGTGTGTTCGGTGGAACGAGAAATTTATCACAGTATAGTTACCCACAACAACAAAATTAGCTCAACGAGAGAATGCAGAGGAAGAAGAAGAAGAAGAAGAAGAAGAGGAAGAAGAAAAAGAAGAAGAAGAAGAAAAAGAAGAAGAGGAAGAAGAAAAAGAAGAAGAAGAAGAAGAAGAAGAAGAAGAAGAAGAAGAAGTAGAAGAAGAAGAAGAAGAAAAGGAAGAACAGGAAGAAAAAGAAGAAGAAGAAGAAGAAGAAGGAGAAGAAGAAGAGCTATTACCGTTGCTACTACTTCTACTACCTTGCTGCTGTTGCTACTACTTCTGCTTATAATGCTGCTACCATGGTGCGTTTAAGAAGTCCTGACCAAAATGAAAAATGTGTAATCGTTTGGTGTATGTTGTTGAAATTTGGCATACAAATTGTTAATAATCATGTCCTTTCAAGATTTTATCCCCGTGTAGGTTCCAGGGCCCTATTAGAGGGGAAAAAAGAAAATACCCAGTGCCTACCCAAAAGCATGTCGTAAGAGTAGACTAATTAGGAGTTTCCTTGGAAGTCGGAGTAAATCTGCCGAAGAGGCAATGAACTAACAGTCTGTACACAAATTAGTCAGATCTGTCAAACGGATGCAAACGCAACACTCAAGTTCTGGAACAGGACTGCAGTCCAGAAGTTGGCGAACAACCAGAACATTCCGCCGGCGTTTACAGCTGACGAACGCGAAGAAGAAGAAGAAAAAGAAGAAGAAGAAGAAGAAGAAGAAGAAGAAGAAGAAGAAGAAGAAGAAGAAGAAGAAGAAGAAGAAGAAGAAGAAGAAGAAGAAGAAGAAGAAGATAAAATTTAAAAAAAAGAAACCTTCAATGTGTCTCCACTCTGTAGTGGTAGAGGGGCTTGTGTGTCACAATGACCCTATGAGCTATGCTGACGGTAGTTTAGCTACTGGTAGGGTCTCCCATGTCAGACAGGTCGAAGGAGAGGAACCAGACGAAGAGAGACACGACCTATATTTCATGATGTCACGAATGAAAATATATCGATATGGAAATGGTGCTAATCTAGTGGACCCCTGCCAGGCAGAGATAGTGCCGGGCCCCTTGCATCGAAGGGGTCCACCCAACACTCCTGATGGCCCCCTACCCCTGTGCTGTGGAGTTAAGGCACAGGGCATTAGACCAAATATCAAGGACACTTAACACACTATAGTGGAATGCTGAAAGAGTTTTAAATAAAAACAGTTCTCTAACAAATCGTCTTCATGAAGACAAAATTGATGAGGCATGCATCCAATAGACACACCTCAATGCCTGTCACAGATTTTCTGTCAGAGGATATCAAGCTATACGCTGCGACCGGAACTCGATACCAAGCAGTGAAGTAGCTGTAAACTCAAATAACGAATCAGAAATTATAGGCGTTGATATCATGATAAAGGAGGAGAAAATCAAAATATTAAACTTATATAGCCCAGCTAACAAAGATCTTGCACTTTCAAGAATGAAAATAAATGACACAAACTGCATTGTAGTTGAAGTTTTTAATAGTCGCTTAGAAAAGATGGAAATACCCAGATACTGACACCAGAGGAGACGAAGTGGAGGACTGGGAAATAGACTCCAATCTTCATTTAATTTATAAACTTGAAGAAAAACCCAGCTTCTACTCTAGAAGATGGTGCGAATCTTCCACACATGACTTAGTTTTCTGCACAGGAGATATTCTTCACAAAACTGATCGCAGTGTACTAGATCAGTTAGCAGGCAGCGATCACAGACCAGTAAAGCTTGCTGTAAATATGGATTATGTCCCACAGGAGTAGAAAACATAGCCTCGATGGAATTACAAACGAGTTGATTGGGATAAATTTGCTTTGCTGACAGATGAGTACTGTAAAAACATGATAAACACACGATATGGCAACATGAAGACAGTAGTAGAAAGTCTAAACAAAGCAATACTGCAGGCAGCATATGAGTGCATTCTAAGAGGTGTGAGGAAAAATTACAAACCATACTGGACCAAAGAACTGCAGATCCTGGAGGGAAAAGTCGAAGAGGCTAGGAAGACAGCAGAGAGAGAGAGAGAGAGAGAGAGAGAGAGAGAGAGAGAGAGAGAGAGAGAGAGAGAGAGAGAGAGAGAGAATAAACAACTGAAGCAAGCATTTTCCTAAAAGCCATCCCAGCAAAATACAAAAGAACATTAAATCAAACAACTAGAAATACCTGGCAAGAAAAAACAGAAAGCCTCAACTTGGACAAAGATTGAAATGAATTTAAGAAATTTGTAAAAACCATGGACAGTGAAGGGCCTAGTAACAAACAAATAACTATTAAACAGGGTAACAACATACTAACAGGAAAAAAAGGCTGCAAATACACTGATAGAATACTATGCTAGTGCAAACCACATTGATATCACAACAGAACACAAAAAAGAAATGAAAGAGCAACTGACATGTTAAAATAACATAGAGAAATCAGAATTTATGATGGTAAATCTGAATATGGAAGAGCTGGAGCGGGCAGTGAGTTCCCTGAAAAAGAAGAAATCACCAGGGAAGGATGAGATCACAAATGAAATGATAAAAGAATTTTGTACTAAGGAAAAAAAAAGCAATTACTAGCAAGCAGCTTACTTAGCTGTGTATGGAAATTGATGGAACGCATTATAAATAACAGATTAATGGGGCATCTAGAAGAAAAGCACCTATTAACTCCATAACAGGCAGGATTTAGAAATTACAGATTTACTGAAGACCAAATAACATACATAGCCCAGGAAATAGAGGATGCCCTTTAAGAGAAAAAAAAGCACACACTTGGGTAAACTTGGAAAAAAGAATTTGATAAAGTGAGGAAGGAGGGACTCTAAAACTACACACACACACACACACACACACACACACACACACACACACACACACACACACACACACACACACACACAAAAATGCACGTTTGTGGGAAAATGTACAACTGGATCAGTCACTACCTTGAAAAAAGAACTGCCGGGACAAAAGTACAAGGACAAATTAGTAAAAAATGTTGTTAGAACAAGGTGTACCCCAAAGGGAAGTATTGTCACCAACATTGTTCTTAGGAAATATTAATGATATTACAAGTAATTTTCGAATCAGAGTACACACCTCACTCTTTACAGACGACTTAGATATATGGACTAGCGAAGAACATATTAGTGTAGCCAACAGTAGAATGCAGAAAGCTTTATCAGAGGAATGGTCAAAAACATGGCTAGTGAATATGAGTGAAGAGAAAACAACATGCTCTGTGTTCTAACTCTCTCAAATAAAACACCGCCAGTTAAGCTAGTGGTAAATGGAAAAATACTGCTTCAAGAGAAAAATCCAGAATACCTAGGTGTCACATCTGATTGCCGCCTGACATGCAAGACACAGGTAGAAGCAAGTCGAACAAGAGCAAGGCAAAGAATGGGAATCATGAAAAAAACCTGCTGGCACAACATGGGGGCTGATGAGAAAGTTCTCAAGAAATTATACACTGGACGAGTAAGGCATATACAGATGAGTCAGCAAAAAATTCAACAGAAAAATGAGGTGGGTGAATCGTCCTGAATCTGAAAAATGGATCAAAGAAAACACAGTCGATTGCAACCGGAAAGTTCTTAAATAATTTTAGAGCAGAGGCAGAGGCCCTGAGAACTGCAGCAGAAATGCTTCTGTCAGAAAAAAATATAGAGGAATACATAGCTATCTTCACAGATGCAAAGTCAGTTGTCTCAGCACTGAAGAGCAAACATGATACAGAACTAGCAGACCTTAGAGCTGCACTCCATGGACTGGGTCTGAAATCAAAAAGAATCATAATACAATGGATTCCATCCCATTGCAACATACCTGGAAATGAAGAGGCTGACAGATTGGCAAAGGAAGGTGGAAGACTACCACAGCCTGATATAGACATAATATATGACGAGGCCCAAAAGTTGATAAAAAGCATAGATAGAATCAAATGGGATTCTGAACATCTAGGCTACAAGAAGGATGATGCATACTGCTAACTTGGCCGAAGAGAACAAGTAGTGATCTTTAGACTCCTCACAGGGCATAATAGGCTGAAACACCACTTGTTCAATAAACTAAAGATAGGAGACAATGATGATTGTAACTGCAAGAGTGTCCAAAATATGCAGAACACAGAAAATTATTATGGCCAACACCCGCAACCTGTGAGGATAAACTGTGTGGAGATATCAACAACCTCAAGTTGACTGCTGATTTCTTCAAATGTATCCACACTGACATCTGAAGGTATAAGATGAATAAAACTGTCCGGGATTCTCTGAGCCGATAGTCCCTAGAGATGCAGAGCTCGTGAACCACGTAAAACTATAGTGGATGAGAAAGTCCACTGCAGTAAATGTCTAACATGTAAAAGAAGCAAAGTACTCATTCTGTGGTGTAGGTAAATGAAATCCCAGGTCTGCATACTGCTGGCTACAAAAGAGATAGCCCATGATGTATGAGATGTTCAATATATGGAAGTGAGGTTAAACAGTCAGGAGCAGGACGTGACGATCCTTGGGTGAGCCCAGTACCAGAGCACCATGTATTAGCTGCCTGTGGAAGCCTCCTTCGATGGCAAGGAATGCTCATGTTCTGCCCCTGCCTTCTCTTGAGGGCTGATCAGCATTATGTGTCCTCTCTGGACCAGCCTGATTGTGGCACCACCTGTGACCTGGGAAATAAAGATGACCACACAACAATAAGACTGCCATGTACCCAGAAATTGGGAAGGCTAACCTGGTCAACAAATGCCCACAGAAGTCGGATGTGTTTGCCGAAAGGTGCAAAAATCGCAGCCATGCTGTAAACGGACACAACGCAATTACATCTTCGGATGAACGCAGAAGAAGAAGAAGAAGATAAAAAAAATGTAATTAAACATCTAGCTTTTATTTTGCTTTTTTTTTACGGTATAGGAAAATACAGACACCTGTTCAAAGCAAACACTTGTCATGCTTAGAAAAACATAAGTAAACTGAGCAACGGGAACTTTTCAAAACAATAAAAGTGCATCCGTTTCATATGCGTTTTTTTCTCTCAGGAGGCCATCTACGGATGAGTTGCGGATTTTGCAGAGTGGGGGTTATGTTGTGAAAATAATCACCAGGCATCGTTGCACATGTGAACTGATTTCGAAAAACAATGCCCATACGTGTCTTAATTACTGTCTTTAAACTTTTTTAAAGTAAAACCAAGGTCCATTTCCCACGTCTTTAGACGTATCGAGTATAGAGGGCCACCATTACTTCCCTGGACTGCACCTGGTACCAACTCAAGCCTTGATTGACCTGGGAGCCAAGGTCATTTTTGAAAAATAAAATCCGGCTCCGTCAGAGGGCGAACCTACGACCTTTGGTTGTGCAGGCGGGCGTCTAACCGTTAATGCAACAGCGACTCCCTTTAAAAAAAAAGTACATATATTATTAATCACGGTCTTTATTCATCTGCGTAACGCTGACATTGAGCCCGGAAATGGTACCAGATGGTCTTCAGCAGAAGAGACTTTGAGGAGACCCTAACACTTTACAGAGCAAAGACTTTAACCAGAATGCGACTTTCTTTACCTGTTGTACAAATTTAGCTTTATCTTGATCAGTATGTCTTCATCAGTACGCCCAATCACAATATACAATCAGTTTTACAATCACAAACGTCCACTTGATATTTAAATCCCCTATAGTTATGCATCCAAAATGGTGGGTCAGTATTTCAGTTCCATATATTCATATATGACACAGCTGGCCTCCTCTACACTGTAAGGACTAGATGGGAGGTGGACAATGCCGAGCCTCCTACCCTAAAACCATTACGGACATGGGAGTAAAGCCAAGTGAAGCCATCTTCGAGGTTAGGATATAAAACATCATAATCAACTTCTAATGGGAACAATCAGCTGAGGTAACCTGGCAGGGTGGCTGCATCCGAGTACTAAACACGCCTGAGAACACCTATGTGCAAAGAAGTCGATTATGATATCATAACATCCATAACACACATCCATAATGATAGGTCAGTATTTCGATGCAAGTCATCAAAACATGTCAATCCCATATATTTATGCATTGTAATGATGCATCAGTATTTGAATCAATATTTTCAGATATTCATAAAAAGGAACTTATTTTTTTGGGAATAAGATGCATTCAAAATTTCAACATGAAAACTCAGTTTCGATCCCATGCCTCCAAGGACTCACAGTATTCACTTGGTTTAGTGCAAATAAACTATTTTATGTGTGGATTATTTTAGACTATCATGAAACGAACAAAGTATATTTAAAATATAGCCGGGATTTACGTTGCGCATTTCTTTATCTAGGTATTAAAATCGATAACAAAGGTAATGAAAATATCACGGACATTGAATAGTTAGACTCAAAGGGGAACAACAATGGTGACTGTACAAAAAAAGTCAGATAAACATTTGCTTTAGCAGTGCAGAGGATGACCCAGCACATGTCTGTGGGTTAAAGTAATTATTTTGACAGTTATGGACTCTTACTTATTCTCTAAAGAGAAATATCAGAGCTTTTAAATGAAACTGCTACAGAAAAATTACCAGAACATTCTGAGTTGCAAATCTACCCAAAGTATTTCAGGATCCTCGCCGGTGCTACAGAGCCTGTGCACTGTGCTGAGCTTTTTCGGACTCGGACTTGAATCAGGAGAAGAACGGAGCATTTGGGGGTTACTAACCGTGTGGTATGTTATTGGTCTGTCGTTCAAACTTCAAACTTCAGCTCATAAGCAGAATCATGTCCCGAAAGCTGGGCTATTTTGGCAACGTTAAAAGTCATAGTGGCCTGGGGAGAACGATAAAAAAGGTGCCGTTTCCAGGAAACAACGCAGAAGCCGATCGCCGCCATGAGGATAGAAGCCAATGAAGACTGACTGGATATGAAAAAGCCGGAGCATTTGTCACAGAAAGAGAGACGTTCAAGCGTCCAGTGAAAAGAGCGACGTTCTGTAAAAGACCTGCTGACTGATGCCGAAATCATTATTTATTACCACCTAGGATTTCGTGACCTCGGCGAACAGTGGGTCTCTAGGTATGAATCCAGAAGTTTCCGAGTGGAGCTCCAGCATCTGTATTCCCAGATCAGGCCCCTGTATGAGCAGCTACACGCCTTCGTCAGGAAGACCTTGAAAACTATGCACAGAATACCTATGCTTAGGACCGGCCAGATACCTGCACATGTTTTAGGTGAGTCGTTACATGCTTGTTGCATATACTTTACAAGACCTCTAAAACCAATGTTAGAATTTGTTTGTTTATTTGTGATTTACGAGACTTTTTTTTCGTTAACTAGTTTACAAATATTAATGTTACAGTTGGCAAGATGTCACTCAACAACTAGCCCAACTGCACAGACATCCAAATGTCTCCCTTCCAGAAAATCAATTGATTAACAGCATGTTTATCCCAACTTTATGCTGTCAGTGTCAAACATGGACAACGGATGCTAGAACTGTAAACAACTAGAGGTGAAATGAGCAGTCTCTGTAAGGTCACTTACAACACAAGAAGGGACTGCGTTACAAATACCAGCATTAGAGAGAAAGTTGGAATAAGACCTTGTCTGAATTATATTACCAGGTGAAGAATGAAATGGTTCGGCCGTCTAGTGAGCATGCAGCCAGACCAAACTGCATATGCGACTGGTTAAAAACAGTTAAAAAATCTAGGAACAAGACGAGGCTAGGGTGGAAAAAAAGAGATATAGTGAAACCTGCAAAAAGATGAACAAATCCAACACTCAAGACACTGGAGAATCACAAGACAAATAGAGGAATTTACGCCATCTTCACGATTTAATATCTAAGAAGACAAGATCATTTGCAATATCGTTTCTCATAAAGTTAAATAATTCAGGGACTCAGAGCAAAGCCATCTGATGTTTGACTGTAGCACCTTCTCAGTCAAAACATGTCGGAATTATAAAACGCCACAATAACCCTTAAAACATGGCACCTGGCACTGGTCTAGTAATGAGCAGCTACTAGGGGAATGGCTTGCTGTAGTTACCACAGAGAAGCAAAATATAGCAATGTGTTGGCTATCTTACCAGAATTACTTATCAGGACAGTGTTCTTGGGTCACCGGAACCATATGATCAAGCCATGCTCTTATTTCGAATTATATCACTGGCATTGCTCTTGTTTTTTCAGTCTAAGACTAACTGCATTTTAAAAGTAAGTCAAAAGTGAAGGAAACAGCAAAGGACCCTATTTAAACTTTAACCTTTTGGACAAGTGAGGAAAAGACGCTTGGGTTGAACACGACACACGTTAAAAGAAACTTATAAAAATAGAATCAAAATGTCTGTTCACACGAACCCAAAGAACTAAAGATTAAATGACAGACAATACAAACGCACACGCACGAGCACGCGCGCTTGCATACACACAGAGATGGAGAGATAGAGAGTGAGAGAGAGAGAGAGAGAGAGAGATAGAGAGAGAGATAGAGAGTGTGAGAGAGAGAGAGAGTTGTTGTTGTTATCGATCCAGCGGCGCATGAGCTTTCGCCCTTTGGCCCAAGAGAGAGAGAGAGAGAGAGAGAGAGAGAGAGAGAGAGAGAGAGAGAGAGAGAGAGAGAGAGAGAGAGAGAGAGAGAGTAAAGTTTCAAGAAAATGGGAAGGGCACTTAGATGAACTTCATGCTCTAGCAAATGATAGGACGACTTGGCGTAAATATGTTAAGGGCGTATGCTAAGACGGCGATACCTAGAAGAGGAAGAAGAAGAAGAGAAAAAAAAAAAAAGAAGAAGAAGAAGAAGAAGAAGAAGAAGAAGAAGAAGAAGAAGAAGAAGAAGAAGAAGAAGAAGAAGAAGAAGAAGAAGAAGAAAAAGAAGCACGAAAAGAAGAAGAAGAAGAAGAAGAAGAAGAAGAAGAAGAAGAAGAAGAAGAAGAAGAAGAAGAAAAAAGAAGCACGAAAAGAAGAAGAAGAAGAAGAAGAAGAAGAAGAAGAAGAAGAAGAAGAAGAAGAAGAAGAAGAAGAAGAAGGGGAAGAAGAAGAAGAAGAAGAGGAAGCACGAAAAGAAGAAGAAGAAGAAGAAGAAGAAGAAGAAGAAGAAGAAGAAGAAGAAGAAGAAGAAGAAGAAGAAGAAGAAGAAGAAGAAGAAAAAGAAAAAGAAGAAGAAGAAGAAGAAAAAGAAGAAGAAGAAGAAGAAGAAGAGGAAGAAGAAGAAGCAGCAGCACAAGAAGAAGAAGAAGAAAAACTGTAACTCGATGGATGTTTCAAAATATGCCCACCATTTTTACTTCCTAGATGAGTTGGTACTTACAACCTAGTATCTTTTTTCAGGCTTGGTCGCCTTTGATCGACCAGGAAGCCGTGGTCAGTTAAAAAAAAAAAAAAACGCCTTCCTGCGGATTCGAACCGAAAACAATCTCACTGACACGAAAGAAAACCAATCATCTGGACTTAACATTATAGCACCATCATTACATACATTTCTTTCCTGTTCAATCTTTACCGCAGGTAACATGATGGCTGACGAATGGAGCAAAATATATACGAATGTCGTGATCTTTAATGAAAGCAGTAATGATATTAAGCTGAAGTTTAGGGTAATTCTTTGTTTTTAATGCTGTCTTCTGGGTTATCGTCGTTGTCTTCGTCAGTACACCATTTATCGAAGAGCGATAGGCCCAAAAAGTTAATAACTCTAGGCTCTTGTTGGGGGAGAGATCCGGTTTGAAACCTCATTTATACTAGGTGGCAAATAATGGATGTTTTTTTCGAAGTCGAAATACAAAATTCGTAATGTGTGCTCAAACGTTGAGCTTAAAAGCTAACGGGGAATAATGAAGAAATCCACAGCTCAATCCTGACTGTGAACCCATGGATACATTTTCTTGTAACCAGAATATACCCACTGGCTCTCCACCCCCCCACCCCCCCCCCACCCATTGCCTGAAAAAGAAGCCAGATCTGTAAAACGGATGCGCCCGCAACACTAAGGTTTTGGAACATAACTTATATTTAGAGGTGGGCAAATAACCATAATTTTCCGCTGGAGTTTACAGCTAGAGATCGCCAAGAAGAAGAATTCTCTTTTAAAAAAGACACATTTTTTGGTCTTTTATTTACGCTGCGACAGACGTTCTTTGACATCAATAATTACCAGTCACAAGTTTTAAAGAAAATATTTGCACAACACTGCATTATCGTCCACAACATTTGAGCTCGATAGCTTACCAATAATAATATTAATACCAAAAACAAACGTGGGCCCAGTATATACATACACATACATTCGTACATGCACACGTATGTACATACGTGCAAATGTAAGCATACCCATACATTCCAAGCATATGTACATACGGACACTCACCCATAAACATATGCACACAGAAACATACGCATACAGACACACACAAACTCACACAGATACATATATATATATACACACATACGTACATGCAGAAGCGAACTTAATAATAGTGTTTAAAAAATGTGTACCAGCAAATTTTCTGAGGAATAAATGACAAAGAAGGGCTGCGCGAAAAGAAATTCACCAGCCCACTTTTGGCCTACAAAATTTGCAAGTCTTTTCTTTTCCTTTCACTAGTGTTTGTAAAACTGCACTATGAATAACAACAGCAATAACAACAAAACGAATAGAAAAAAAAAATTGAAAGCTTTGTTAACACGAACTCGTTTACGAAGTATACTTAGTTGACAAGAAGAAAATGTGGATCCCCGAAGGGATATATTGATGAGTTCATGGTTAGCATCATTACTTTTCGTGTGTGTTAAACAGGAACTCCTGTTCTTTCAAACACGAGTCATTAAGATTTTACTCTTCTACTGCCACTACTCCTACAACAACAACAACAACGATAACAACAATAACTACTTCTAGTACTGCTACTACTACTACTACTACTACTACTACTACTACTACTACTACTACTACTACTACTACTACTACTACTACTACTACTACTACTACTACTACTACTACTACTACTACTACTACTACTGATACAACAGCAACAACAACAACAACAACAACTACTACTACCACCACCACCATCTTCTAATATAGACTGGTTTCTTTAATATTTAACATGTTTGTAAAATATTTCAAGGATCTAAGTGCGAGAGATTTGGTGGAAATGGCCGACGATTACCTTCTTTCACTCGGATTTGATCAATTGGATAAGACATTCTATAAGGCAAGGATTCGTTATTCAAGTAAACAGGGAGAGCAAGCGGGTTTTCGAGCATTTGTTTTTGACCTTTTCGACCAAAAGGACTACAGGTTTGTGTTAAACAGTACACACAAGTTACTCCGTTTGTTTATCCCTTGGGAGGCGCGGCAGTGTCAAGGCACTTGGGTGCCGGGTTGTAGGTCAGGATTTTGATCCAGCCCTCCCAGGTCGCAGAGCCTGAACTGGATGCCAGGAAATGTCCTGGTACGTAAATGCGGCCAGCGTGATGGTGACCACAACTCGCATCAAATGCTGACCGACCTGATAAAAATAGAGGTCTGTCACCAAAGGCTCGTTGCTCTGCAGGTCTGGACTGTGTCACAACGTTCTTTTGGCGGCGTGATCCAATAGCTAACTAAGCAAATTCCAGATACCTGTTGAAACACTCTCTAGTAGTTAAACATCTTTTCAACCGACATTATTCCGAAAACATCGCTGTTTAGCTGGTGACAGAATCGGTCATGTTTAGACGTACTGCCTTTTAAGTGACTGTCGACACGGTCACACTAGTAGTGTTTGTTTGCTAGGAAAACAAATTGTGTATGAACCTGTTCTGAAAAGCTAGAGGTAGGGAAACGTTAAGTGTGCTATAGCAGTATTAGATAACTCCCTCCCCCTTTATTTTCTCATTGAAGGGCTAAATTTTATCAATGACCTAAGTTTTAGTTTGGTGTTCCTAATTTCTGTTGATTGACCTAAGATCCTCTGCTCGCTGCTCGTATACGGCGTAAGCACAAGTGCAATGGAAGATATGGCCATGAATAAGTGGTTTTGAGCGCCAGTTTGACTTACCAATATGGCTATGTTTTGTAAAAGGTCTGTTAACGAGGAGTTCAAGGTTACCAAGGCCAGAGTTGCCATGCTGTTGGGTGAGTCTGCAGATCTAGTAGTCCTCTAAACCCAGCCAGATCTTTAAGACGGAGGTGGGCGTCGGGTGAGAGGGGTGGAAAGTGACCGAAGCAATCGATCTACACAAAAAGCACTGGAATTAAAAGAAGTCAGTGGATACATAGAAACCAAACGACACGGCTTCGGCCGAGGGTATGTCCTATGTTAGTCTAAGGCCTCAGCTAGAGAGTACAGAGATATAGTCAAACAACAGATCATGGACTGGGAGTATGAGATGCGAGCCCATAAAGCAGCCTAGCCGTGATAGCAAGGCTAGTTGGTCGGCCTCGAGAGTACCATGTCATTTGAACTCTCCCGGAACAATATTTGGCGTATGGCTTCGCTACGACTGAGCTTTATTTTCAGATCTGCGTACGACGTGTTACTCCCACACTCTAACCTAGTCAAATGGCGCAAGACGCAAGATTCGCCATGTCCCATAAACGGCGGAAAGCAGACTCTCTATCATATGCTGACAGAAGATGTGCAAGAGAGCCTAAGGAAAGGTCGGTTCACACAGAGGCACATACAAGTCCGGAGAGCGTTTGCTGACGTTGTGAATCAAATTTGGACGAGGGCCAACAAAAGGGTTAAAGACCCTCAAACTCCAATGCGATTACTCAAGACTGGACAGATATCAGTCGTTAATTTCAACAAGGACGCATACGTTCCGGCTCTCCTGTTTGTGGACTGGCAGAGAGCGGTAGACGTGGCTATGACAAGTATCACAGTAACCAACTCTAATATGCTTTAATCCAAGACTCCGCTTTTCGCCTGACTCTCCGGGCTTCGGTTCTCCTATTTCTATGCCTTCTTCTCTCTCCATTTCCTCGTCTTCTTCTCCTCCCACTCTCTCCGTTGTCACATGAAGATGATATCAAGCACAGAGGACGCACTCCGTAGCTCCGGCGATGATTCTTTTTATTATTTAATAACAAAATCCATAGAAAATAACCTTTCAGTGCAAGAAGTAAACGGACACCCTAGTATTGTCTGCTTGTTAGGAAAGAGGCAGGGATGTCTTGATGGAGTTCATGCGCCTGGCGCCAACCCAGCCGCTAACCAGACGTTCCACGTTCACGACTGTATAACCCACAGTCATTCAGCCAATAGGCACGTAGATCCACCATAGGCTGAGGTTTTTTTTTTTTTTCAAATCGAGGTTGTCTCCTCTAGATCTGTTGAGTTTTGTGCCTCTTCGTTGACGCACAACGGTCTTGACTGTAGAAAGGATTTCCTGATCAAGTAAGGTGCAACCTAAGTGTTCCGCTTTCATCCTTTAAGTACTCATAGGTCTAGACCTTGCTCTAGAGACAGAACAACTACTGCCCTCCTTTCTACGGCCTTGGATCCTTGTGTGCATACAAAAAAGCCATATCTGTAAAATTTTTGCACGCAAAGCTCATATTCTGGAACAAGACTAAAGTCCAGAGGTGGACGAACCGCTAGAACTTTCTGCAGGAGTTTTCAGTCTGTGAACGTAAATAAGTATTTATAGATGTAAGCATAATGATATCATGCTGCTTCTATTGTCATGCAGGCTTGTTGGTCCCAGAACAGTAGGAGACACGCAATTCTATGATGCCCATAATAAGATCACACAAATCCACTATTTCATGCAGTACAGAAACCAGCCTGTAATTTACAGAGAGCCAGCTAATGATGGTAATATGACAATAAACACACACAACACACAACACACACACACATAACACACACACACACACAACACAAACACAACACAAAACGCACCAAGAACACACACACATCTATATAACAGGAATAGTAATGCATCAGATGTTGAAATGTGTTTCTCCGCAGTGCCAGCTGGCCGGCCCCTGTACACGCAGGTCAGCGTTATTGGAACCTGGTACATATTTGACTGTTGCTTGGATACTTTTATCAACTTCTTTCTTGGCAATTTTGTTTCAAGATTGCGTACATGTCTTACTATTTTTTTTTTTTTAAATGCGTCTTCAAAGGTGTTTTTCAATCTCTGAGTCTTAACGCAATCTAGGTTGTTATATAGAAGGCAATTTGTTTGGTCTACTTAAGGTGTAATCTTTCTTGCAGAACTGGCGGTGTTGGCAGGTGAATCTTAAACCAGAGGACAAACTTATCATAATTGTGGCATGCAATTTTTAGTTATTTTGAAGCGCCACCCTGGCTTTTGTCGGGGGCCCTAAATAAGCCGGACCTTAAATATGGCCTGGTGGCTAAACGGGGTTTCCAGGACCTCTCCACATGTGATCCTCATCCGTATGGTGGCACTGTATCACTTGTTGTTTATCGCTTGTGTGATGTCCTGGTAGGTTACAACTTACCTACCTAAGTAAAGTAAAGATCCCTTTACACGCCCTTAGGCGCATCAGGCATATGGGAAGAGCACCCATATTTTTACAGACCAATCGGCACTTGGTGGGTAATGTGGTCAGCATTACGCCGGCCGTCTTCACTTTCCCAGAACACCCATCCTGGTACCCATTCGAGGCTGGGTCGACCTGCGACGTTCCATACCACGATAAAAATCCACGCAGCCCGCAGTGGGTTTCGATCGCGGAACTTACCTACCTACCTGCTCCAAAATAGTGACTATTAAAGGGGTGAAATTTGCAGATGTCATTCTAGCTGAACTGTCACTTTTTTTAGCACTGGAAAGGCCTAGATGGGTGGTATGAACCTTAAGTGCAATTGTAGACAATTAATTAACATTGTGAAGGATACAAAGCAGACATAAAGACGGAAAACAGCATTTTCATTAACTATCCCAGGGGGAAACAGATAATTAAAAATCACACACACACACACACACACACACACACACACACACACATATATATATATATATATATATATATATATATATATATATATATATATAATCTCCTCGGTTTAACCCAAACAACATTGCAGGTACACCTGACAGATGTAACCGTTACGGGTGCCGTAATAAAACATTTTTTTTAGGTTGAATTGAGTATCTAGTATCTGCCTTGTTGCTGTACTGTTCAGTAAATGTCAAGTTAACCCCCGCCCCATTCCCTAAGCACTGCTATGTATATTTTCTTAGCTAGTGATAGGTCCAATTGTAGGTATGCAGCTTTCACGGAGCGAAAATTCATTTATGTAAAGTGTTATTGAGATGATCAAATAGATCAGACAAGTTTGTTGTTGTTGTTGTTGTTATTGTTGCTGCTGTTGTTGTTGTTGTTGTTGTTGTTGCAATGATCAGTGTTTATCTCGTGCTTCGATTTTCAGGTGGTACTCACTAATTAAAACGGTGCGGAAACGACTGAATCTTTAACTAGACAATGATGTCTAATTTATGTTGGTAACGAGAAACTCATTGCCAAAAGTCAGAGAACGGAAACACGAAGATTGACTTCTAACAGTGAGGAGAATGTCAGAAAACTGCCAAGTTAAACTGAGGGACGATTTGTAGAACTTTCCTGGAACCAAACAGGGATGTCTATGTGGATGACCCCCGCCTGTAAATCGGAAGGTCATGGGTTTGAGTCCGGACGGAGCCGGATATTTTTTCAAAAATGTCCTTGACTCCCAGGTTGACCTAGCCTTGAGTGGGTACCATGTCAAGTCCGGAGAAGTAAGGGCGGCCGGCGAAAGGGTGACCACATCACCAACCAAGTCCCGACTGGTCTAAAAATATAGATTTAGCTTTACATTCCCAATACGTCTAAAGGCATGGAAAAGGGACCTATACTTTTTGTTTTGTTTTGTAACTTGGGTTAAACAAAAACGTAGCTCTCCGGTTTAGTGACACTCTTTGTCCGGAAACAGTCATCTTGTGCGTTTGGAGCAGGCAAAAGAAATTACTATATGAAGTCTGTTTTTTTTTTCGTCACAAACAATATTTATGAAGTGAACAATTGTTCAGACGCCTTATTTATCCTCCCAGCGTTCCTGGAAGCGGTCGGTGGTGCCATTGAATTGTCAGTTCGAAATCTGGATTACCTGAAGAAAATCCGCTTACTGAGGACGAGGCAGATAACACACAGTAATTACCACATTGATTAAATTTTTGCTTCGTATATTCTTTGGGAGGCTTTAATAAATATATTGCAATTCTCGAAATCAGGAGAATGTTAAAACACTGCCCCACTAACCACCTATCCACCCGCACCCACCACCTAGATGTCGTAAAAAATGATTTTAAAAAAAGCCAGATGTTACATAAAAAAAAAAAAAAAAAGACGCAAGATGTCGTAAAATCAACAATAAAATAAAAATGCTAGATGTCGTGAAATATTAAATTTAAACAAAAATTATTTTTGTAAGGTAGGGACACGAAAACTAGAGTAATGTAACATATCACACACACACCTATATGTGTAAACACACATGCACCCTGACACTGACACAGATACATACACGCGAGTGCAGAGTTCTTTTTCTAGCTCGCCATCTAGTTCAGACTTTGTGTCTTGTGTATTTTAAATCATTTCTGACAGGCACGATCCTCCAAGCATCAATGAGATCCTGTCTAACATCGCTCCGGTCTTACACCGATTCTTTATTACTTCCACGTTCCCCACTATTACGAGGCGCTTTTGTTTCCCATTTCCACATTTTCCCACTATTACGAGGCCCTTGTTTTCCACTTCCACTTTCCCCACTATTACGAGGCGCTTTTGTTTTCCACTTCCACTTTCCCCACTATTACGAGGCGCTTTTGTTTCCCACTTCCACTTTCCCCACTATTACGAGGCACTATTGTTTCCCACTTTCACTTTCCCCACTATTACGAGGCACTATTGTTTCCCACTTCCACTTTCCCCACTATTACGAGGCACTATTGTTTCCCACTTCCAGTTTCCCCACTATTACGAGGCACTATTGTTTCCCACTTCCACTTTCCCCACTATTAGTAGGCACTCTTGTTTCCCACTTCCACTTTCCTCACTTTTACGAGGCACTATTGTTTCCCTTTTCCACGTTTACACTATTACGAGGCACTTTTGTTTTCCACTTTCAATTTCCCCACTATTACGAGGCACCATTGTTTCCCACTTTCACTTTCCTACTATTACGAGGCACTTTTGTTTCCCACTTCCACTTTCCCCACTATTACGAGGCACTATTGTTTCCCACTTCCACTTTCCCCACTATTACGAGGCACTATTGTTTCCCACTTCCACTTTCCCCACTATTAGTAGGCACTTTTGTTTCCCACTTCCACTTTCCTCACTATTACGAGGCACTATTGTTTCCCATTTCCACTTTTATCACTATTACGAGGCCCTTTTGTTTTCCACTTCCACTTTCCCCACTATTACGAGGCACTTTTGTTTCCCACTTCCACTTTCCCCACTATTACGAGGCACTTTTGTTTCCCACCTTCACTTTCCCCACAATTACGAGGCACTTTTGTTTCCCACTTCCACTTTCCCCACTATCACGAGGCACTTTTGTTTTCCACTTCCACTTTTCCCACTATTACGAGGCACTATTGTTTCCCACTTCCACTTTCCCCACTATTACGAGGCACTTTTGTTTTCCACTTCCACTTTCCCCACTATTACAAGGCACGTTTGTTTTCCACTTCCACTTTCCCCACTATTGCGAGGACTTTTGTTTCCCACTTCCACTTTCCCCACTATTACGAGGCACTTTTGTTTCCCACTTCCACTTTCCCCACTATTACCAGGCACTATTGTTTCCCACTTCCACTTTCCCCAATATTAGTAGGCACTCTTGTTTCCCACTTCCACTTTCCTCACTATTACGAAGCACTATTGTTTTCCATTTCCACTTTCATCACTATTACGAGGCACTTTTGTTTTCCACTTCCATTTTTCCCAGTATTACGAGGCACTATTGTTTCCCACTTCCACTTTCCCCACTATTACGAGGCACTATTGTTTCCCACTTTCACTTTCCCTACTATTACGAGGCACTTTTGTTTCCCACTTCCACTTTCCCCACTATTACGAGGCACTATTGTTTCCCACTTCCACTTTCCCCACTATTACGAGGCACTATTGTTTCCCACTTCCACTTTCCCCACTATTAGTAGGCACTTTTGTTTCCCACTTCCACTCTTCCCACTATTACGAGGCACTATTGTTTCCCACTTCAAACGCGGAGCTCCAAAATATCGAATTTTCTGCGTCTAATAGGGGTAAACAGTTTTCTTAAAAAAAGGGGCGGGGGTGGGTGGGGGTGATTTCTGTCAAGTTGTCTTTATCCTCCTATTTTTTCTACCCCTGGTATTCTCACTGTACTTTAAAACCAAGTCTCTGCTGCAACCACACAGTTTAATGACATACTAACAAGCTACAGGACGATAGTTGCCTATTAAACCCATCCCCCGTCAATAAATACTGATATGTGTTTATGAACTCTAGTGGCGGACATGACCCCCTGACACTTCGATGAGATACAAGGTGGAAGAGAAGAAGAAGAAGAAGAAGAAGAAGTGACGGAAATGTAAAGAAACAAGAAAAAAAAAAAAAAAAAAAAAAACAAAGTCTATGCTTGTTGTTGTAGTGTGACCAACACACTATTGACATCATTTCTGGCACCAAATAATTATGGATAGTCTTTTTTGTCAAAAAACTTACCGCTTTGCATCAAAGTATGGCTACTTTATATTAGCATAAAACCTAGACTATAATAATGGTTTCCATAGGTCTCCCCCTCCCTCTCATGCAATTAATTTGCAGATAAAATGACTAACTATATTAGCTGCCTTTACAGTCCTTTTTTGACAAGCCTTTAAGGACCTATAAGGCAGAGGGTATATTTGTTGTATTTAAGCCTGAGGATGTCGGACCATATGGCTAGTACAAGCGTCACAAACTATGCAGGTTAGGACATTTATATTAAAAAAAATAAATTCCCTAACCTAACTGAGGATTCGAACCTACATTTAACAGACGAGAGCCATGGGTTCTAATCGCTAGACCAGATTCCCCACGACTTTATTAGCGATCTCATGTAAACGTAGACATTTGTGGTTTTTAATATTTTCTTCTTCTTCAGCATTCTGAGCCAGTGAGGTTCATTGCTGTAGATATTACCCTCCCCCACTCATATCTCTGGTTGGCCTTCTCTTTCAAGTTGGTGACACCAAGTGTTTACAGGTCTGTCTAGGCGTTGCCTCTCCATCGTCTTCTTGGTCTGTCTCGTGGTCTACGACCATTCAGATCTCTTGTGTATACAGTTTTTACCGCTGTCAATTTACACTCTAAATCCGCCTGGCAATAAATTGTGCAAAGCATTGTTTGTATCCGCATTATTCAAATTCATTACAGGAAAACATTGTATTGAATTTACATTCTCTAAATATGCGCACGCTATTTCAGTCTACTACGTCTCATGATACCAGTGATCGATCAATCGTGATTTAAACAGATTATGAAATTCGTTGTTGCTTCTCACTCTCCATTCCTCTTCTGTGTTGTAATACTCTGTTTTAGAAAATTTGAAATAAGGCTTCATCTGTTCTAGTTATGGTCCAAGTTTCAGAGCTGTATGAAACAGCTGGTCTTAACAACGTTTTATATATTTTGATCTTGATGTTGCGAGATAAAGACTTTGACTTAAGCAGATGTTGAAGTGCATAGAAAACTTTATTTCTAGATTGTTTTCTAGGTTGTATTTATTCTCTATGCATTTTTGAGCAGTTGAAGTTTGCACCGAAATACTTATATTTTCGTTCGTTTGATTTTCGTATTATCGGCATGGCCATATGGCCAGCGTTTACATCTTTTCCTTGTCTTGTTATTGAATGTATTCTGTCTTATCTTGCTCGATAACTGGTCAGATTTTGTAAACTGTTTCTTTTAAGAAATCAGTATTTTTACAGACCCTTTCTCCAACGATATGAGTGTCATCTGCACAATCAAGCATTCTTGTAGTTTCTTCTATAGTATATACTTGTTTTAATTTCGTTATAATTTTCTCCAGGGCCAAGTTTTCAATATGGTACTGACAATTATTTTGTCTTTTCCAGGGACGAGGATTAATTATCAGTTGATGATAGCTTTGGAAAAAGTTGCCTTGTTGCCGTTTGCCTATTTGGTAGATGAGTGGCGCTGGTCAGTCTTCAATGGCAGTACCACTGCTGACAATTATAACCAAGTCTGGTGGCGTCTACGGTAGGTGTTATTGTCAAAACACTTTTAACTCCAGTGGTCGATGAGCCATATGACTAGACTAATATTTTATAAGATCAGTCAGTATTCACTTTAAAGAATATTTTCCTTGTCGACTTGGGAACGATAGTCAGTTAAAAAACGATAAAAAGAAAGAAACAAATCAGCCTGGTGAAGAATCAAATCCAAGAACTTCAGCTCGGTTGGCAAGGGTCTAGCCATAGTTCTACCCAGGGCATGTCTAATTTGGTCGACAAACAAGTAAATCAGTCTATAGTTGTTCAATCTGTTTGCAGAGGCTCTGTCTAATTTGTCTACGATCACTGATTTGGTCAACACACACGTAAATCAAACCACAGACAACAACAATCTTTTTGCCGAAGCTCTGTCTGATTTAGGTTTAACCACATGCAAGTCGGACCATAATCAATAGTGACCATATTGTTTACTAGCTGTGCTCGGCCACGCGTTGCTGTGGCCCAGAATGGTGAAATAGAAAAGAAAGAAAATAGCTGTCAGCTAACACCCTCCACCCAGTCATATCTCCCTTTTAAAATAATGTTTTAAGCTCTCCCAGTTAACAGTGTCTGGCATCAACCCCCCACCCCCTCTAATCATATCATCCTCACCGAAGGATGGGAAAGTCATCATCTGACGAAATATTGTAACTAAATTGAGCTTGGCATCCGTGTCCACTCAGACAAAAATGGGTAGCATTAATGTGTACTGAAAAGTAAATGTGGCTAGTGTAACAGCTACCACATCACCAATCGAGTACCAGTACTACTGCTACCACTACCACCACCACCGCCACAACAACAATAACAATACAAAACGATTACTACTGTCTGTGCAGGTCTTTGTAGCCAGAGGAGTTAGTGCCGTATGCTGTCGCCACAGACTGTTTAGTTTAACTGTCCACCCGACATAAAAAAAAAAAAAAAACTCTATCACCTAACCAGTGATGGAACCCACAGTAATATTCCGTGACTGAAAAAAAGTACACTATACTCACAAATAGCGAAATTAAAAACCCACACCCGTCACCTCTCCCTATCCGAAGGGACGATTTTTAATTAACCTTTGCATCTGTATCGACCCAAACCAAACTGGACGCTAAGCCGTCTTGGTTAAGAGTTTCTGTCATCAATGAATAGTGTTTGATCGAGTGAAAAATCGGAGGGAGGATAATTGGGACTTTACTGAAATCTGATGTCTTTGAGCGTAAGGCGCAGATATCGCAACCTAGCTGTAAACCACAACACAACGTGCCAGTCGCCCTCTCAAGGGCGAACAAATGTTACCCGTGGCATTACCAGTGAGCATCACGTCACCGCTATCGCTGGCTAGCTGTAAACCCTAAAACCGAGCAAAAAAAAAAAATAAAGGCGTAAATATCACAGCCTAGCTATAACCACAACAAAACGTGGCAACCACCCAGTTAGGGGACCCCCTAAAAAACAATATATCATACAGCGAGAACCGAACGCCGATCACCTGCGTGAAAGGCGGAATGCCTACAATTACACTACTAAATACACAAGCATTTAGTAGAAATGAAATTATATAATAATAATATGAAGTTCAGTGTTACACAGTCAAAGGCGGCCAGTCAACTTAAAACAAATCCGGGGCGGCAACGAAACCACTAATGAAATGATCGTTGCTGGAGCTACGTCATTCGTAGTTTGTGCAAAAATCATACATACCAACACGCGTGGAGTCTAAGGCAACATTGTGTGAAAATTTGAAAGCGATCGGTAAAGAAATGTCGGAGATTGATCCTAGGGGAAAAAGCATCTATTGACAGCCCTGCTCAGCAGTCGAAGGTGGCCAATCAACTAAAAACAAATCGGGGCAGACAACTAAAAAAATAATGATTTGACTGTTGCTGGAGCTACTTCGTTGGTGTTTTGTGCGATTTTATGACAAAATGTCGTGCTTTGAGTCAAAGGTAACGTTGTGTGAAAATCTGAAAGCAATCAGCTCAGTAGTTTCCCAGTCTATAGTTAACAAACTCGGAAAATTAACATTTTTAATAATATAGATATTTGCCACGTGAACGTAGAGTCGCTTCGTCTTTTGTCGTCTCATTGTTACCAGGTGTTTAGTGGCTTACAGACAGAGCAGTTCACAAGTAATTTTATGTTCTAGTACCCTATTGACTGTCTGGGACCGATAGCATGAAGAAAGCATACGTAAAATGTAATCATATATTTGATAACCTACGTTTCGTAGCATTTTTGAAATTATTCCTTTCAGCTGCGACTTGCAAGGGGTATCTCCACCGGTGCATAGACTGGACAACGATTTTGACCCAGGGGCTTTGCTTGAGATTGCCACAAACAAGCCCTACATTAAGTACATATTTATGAATGCTATTTTTTGGAGTGGGGATTGGGGTGGGGTGGGGGTGGACTGGGGGTCTTAAATACATTTCATAATCTACAACAATGCATAGTTTTTGAAATACTTTATCTGGGCTCACAGGTCTACCCAGCATAAAATTGAACAGGAAGTAGTAGTAGTAGTAAACGTTACCCCACTAGGACATCACACAATCTATTAACACCCAATGACACGAAGTGCCACCTTGTGGATGACTATCACCCGTCGAGAGGTCCCAGAAACCGCGTTCAGCCATAAGGCCATATTTATGGCCAGGTTACACTGCGGCCCCTAACAAGAGCCAGGGTGGGACTTCAAAATAACGAAAAATTGCATTCCACAAAGAGATGATTGATTACTGAATTGAACAGGCAGTGTCCTGGGAAGTATAAACTGCTTTTCTGGAGTTAACATTATACTTGTCACCACAGGCCTTAATACATATATGGTAAAGAGAAATTGGCATTCAAGTATATAACAAATTTAGATGAGAGAGGTATTAAAGCTGAAAGATATGCTACGATATTCCTTGAAGCATTTTCAGTAACAAAAACAACTGTTTCTTTTTCCAGGCATTTCATCAGCACCATTCTCCAGTTTCAGATCTACAAACGTCTGTGTAATATAGCTCAACACAAAGGACCTTTACATAAATGCAACTTAAAGAACAACATTGAAGCTGGTGACAAACTTCGGTAAAAGTCATTATCTAAATCGTTATCTATAACAAAAATTTATTTTCGTTGTTTACAGTTATAAGTTATTATCATTATAGTTATCTTTAGTTATATGCCGTTTTAATCATTGTTATCTATAGTGATAATTCATTGTCATTATTTGTAGTTATAATTCATAATTATAATTGTTATGTGTAGTTATAATTCCTTATCGACATCGTTATGTATAGTTAAAATTTATCTATAGTTAAAATTCATTATCACCATTGTTATCTGTAGTTGTAATTAATTATAGTCCTCGTTATATGTAATTATAAGTAATTACCACCATTGTTATCTGTAATTATTGCAACACGCAAAGTGTACGAAACGAGATTGAGCGGTTGCTATTGGGCTTGGCTGCAGACAATAGAGGTCAGTACTTCTCTGCAGTCGATTCATAGAACGTCAAGTATTTAAAGGACCACTTTTGTGCCAGTGGTGCATCAAGCATATGGTGTTATACCCACATTTTATGGACCAATCGGTACTGGATAGATATGGTTTTCAATATCACGCCTGCCGTCTTGTCATTTCCTGCAAACATGTTAGGCAGCTACATCCCTCATGCAATGTACGAAAGATAATATTCAGAATTGTCAGGAAACTGTCTGCTCACAAACGGCAGATTAGGCCCGTCTACAGATCTGGTCGGTGGGTTGGGGGGGGGGGGGGGGGTGGGAGGGCAGCTTAGGCCCGTCTACAGATCTGGTCGGTGGGTTGGGGGGGGGGTGGGGGAGGGCAACTTAGGCCCCTTTACAGATCTGGTCGGTGGGTTGGGGGGGGGGGGGGGGGGGGGGGGGGGGGGGGGGGGGGAGCTTAGGCCCCTTTACATATTTGGTCAGTGGGTTGGGGGAGGGCAACTTAGGCCCCTTTACAGATCTGGTCGGTGGGGGGGGGGGGGGCAGCTTGGGGCCCCATTACAGATTTGGTCGGTGGGTGGGGGGCAGCTTAGGCCCCTTTGCAGATCTGGTCGGTGGGGAGGGGGGGGGGGGGGGGGGTGCTGAACTCCACGCAAATGGTACGTTGGAAAAAGAAATCAAAACGAAATTAGGAATAGTCTAGAATATATTTAACAACATGCGATATTTATCGGGTTAATAAAATTGGGGATAATCATATGTTACGCATACACAATTCTAACATATTAACAATTCTAACAACTGATCTACAATCAGACAAATTCGTGTCTGTATACCCCCCCCCCCCCCCCCCCCCCCCCCCCCCCCCCTTTTTAAAAAAAAAATTTTTTTTTTAATATTTCGGTATAGTTCTGAACAAACTGTTCAGAAAAACTGGGCTGTTAAAAAAAATATATATATAAAAAAAAAAATAAAGTTAGATTATTTCGACCTTGTAATACACACAGCTAAAAGCCCTCACGCCATTTGCCTGGCGCTTTCACGGACCGTCTTTAGGTTCATGTATGAAGTTTTGACAAAGAGCCCTGGCGATCGTTGATGAAGCTGCAGGATTAAACTTTGTACAGGCAGCTTGCCATTTTCTAGAAAGAAACTTAGGCATATGGGATAAACTTAGTGCAATGAATTCAAACTGTTCGACTGAAAAAAAAAAAAAAAGCATACTGGATGTAAAGGGTGAAGGCAGGCGAGCAGAAAAGTAGACACTGCTACAAATGGAATAACATGAAGCTATTGAGGAATATCAGTTTCGGTAAGTGGAAAACCAGAGCGACAGAGTGTTGGAGATACATCATTGTAGAGGCGGCACCCGATTAACTGATTGAATGACATACTCAGTTCAAATGACGTTTCACAAATTTGCCCCAAGTTCGTAACGTAGAATGAACACACGTAAACTCTGCCCAGTTTGCTTGTAAAATGTCCTATTTGATTTGAAAACGCCTGGTTTAGTTTGAGAAACGTCCCAGATGGTTCAAAAATCGTCCACCTTGGCTTGATACGCGGCGTCGATGGTTTTAAAATAATCCAATTAGGCTTGCAATTCGCCCACTTTGAAGTGACATAAATAAACGTTCTATTCTACGGTCTGGTCCTTTCCCCCCAATTAATACGCTCTGGCCATCCTCACTGTCAGTGCTACCCAGATTGAACGACTCGAAAAGGTGCAAAATGAAGCCATGCGCATTATTTTGGGATGTACAAGAGACACATCCTGTGGAGCAATGAGGTATCTACTTGACTTTCCAACAATGAACCAAAGGATCAGGATGTGGAGGGCTCGGGCATACCTTAAAATATGTGCTGATAAGAAACACCCACTGCATCAAGCGCTTTTTAGTGAAAAGGGTGACAAACTGAATAGGGGACAATCGTGGCTAGGTCGTCCAGAAGATGTTATTAGGTAAATATGCAGCCTAACCGACATCATACCTGGTGCAGAATGGATGCCTGTGCCTCAGGCGTTTATTTGTACATTTTCCTGTATTGTTACACTCAACAGGCGATGTAGAGAAGAGAATCCTGTTGCTGTTAATGCAGAGGTCAACGCTCTCATCGGTGAAAATTCAGACGAAGCAGATGCACTAATCTATACAGACGGATCCGTTATACGCCGAAAAAGAAGCGCATGGGCATTTACAGCACGCTCAGCGGACAGAACAGTCAAAGAAGCCAACGGCGCCTTCTCCATGACAACCAGCAACATGACGATGGAGGGGATGGCAGTGACGCAAGCGTTTGCCTGGCTTGAAACACAAAAATACACCCGCGTGTGTATACTCAGTGATTCAATGAATATGATCCGGAGGGTTCAGGCAGGTTCAGTGCGAAGACAATGGCTTGAATCATTACAGAAGTCCACTGTGCGTGGAATCACCTTTATTTTTGTTTCGGCACACGAAGGCGTCGATGGGAATGAAAGAACTGACAGGTTGGCTGGATCCGCTATCACTACCGACGGTCAGCCTATAGATCATGCTGATATTATCAATGCCCTCAGAGAAATGGGTAGAATAGAGGACTTTGATGGCAGTGAATCCACATCACTCGCTAGAATGGCAGACTTGGAAATTAAGATCGGCACAGCGAAAAACGAGACGCACACCAGACACGCCAGAAGACTTGTTAATCAACATAGAACTGGTACTATTAGCCATCAGACGTTGGGGATTATACTGAGGGGAGGATCTGAGCACCTATGGATATGTCCGGAGTGCAATGATGATAACCCAGCTAACTAACTAACTAACTTTTTGAATAAACGTTGTCTGTTTAATAATTACACTTTCAAGTGAAAATGGTAAATATTGTATAAATAAGTGATATTCTTACACCTATGTACACCACAACAGTACCATAATTTCTAACAATAACCACTATCATACACAGAGCAATGATGAAACTAGGATCATCTGTAACTTGGAAAACGGCATTAAAAGAACTGACTGGACAAGTGAGAATACAAGCCAGCCCGATGATAGAATACTTCCAACCACTACTTAGGTATCTCCGGGAGAAAAATGGAAACGAGTATGGATGGCAACCGGCATGTGACATGAGAATTAAAGTTTCTGGCTAGTGCTGCTAACATATAGTTCCACAAATAACTTTTTAATGCCTTTAAAAGCTTATTTATTTACTTACTTAGTAGGTCTTCTTCTACCCGGGGTGTAGAGAGATCGCAAGACTTCTCTGTCATCTGTTGTCTTTTTGGCTTTGTTCCATTCCAGTCTCCTGTCAATGAGGGACTGTCGGATGTTGTCTTTTAACGAACCTCTGGGTCGTCCTGGAGGTATGGTTCCCTTGTTCTTGGCCTGCCACACAGACAGAGTACCGGTCAAGAAAATCAGACCACAGTTATAACCGATACTGCTCGCAGTGGGTTAAGCATGGCCGATTTTTGTTTCATAAATGGATGAATTGATGGACGTGTGGCTAGTTCTCTCCCATTTGTATGAATGTCTAAACAATCGTAACTGTGCCAACAGATCGATTCGGGTTTATAAGCCTTCGTCAGCGATGTCATTTATTGATTCTATGCCAATTATTACTTCAGCTTCTTTTGACCTGCACGAACATCCTTTAAACAATTCTAGACCCGACAGTTGTGCCTTTAAGCAATAAATTTTAGGCAAATAAAAACAAACTATCAGGACACACATGCTTTCCTGGAACTGAAATAGTTCAAAGTTTTCATGTTTGTGCTTTATCGTTTATAATTTTAAACTCAGCAGTATTGCACCTGATGAGATCCGGTAATTTGGCAGACAATAAATAGTTTTTAACTGCTCGTTCTTGATTGATTGTTTACATGGTTATGTTTACTAACTCATTCAGTACTAAACAATTCACCGTGCATTTATTGGATTCCACCTACAGCTAACAGATTTTTATTGTGATCTATTTTGCTTGTACACAAACCTGCTTTTTTCTAATTTGTATTTTAACTAATTAAATGCTATTATTTTAGTTCATTCCCGCCAAAACATGTATTACATAAAATGACAACTTCTGTCGTCAATCACCAAGTCCTTTACAAAATGTCGTTCTCCTTACGGCACGCATGAAAGTATCCCTTTCCCTAGCCAGCTCTCGGGCCCCATGTGCTTTTAATGCCAAGGCATCTTCAATGTCTTGTACCATCTTCGCGGCGGTCGACCCCTGCCTCGCCATCCAACACCGTCTTTTCCAAGCCACAATGGCGCTTGATGTGACCAAAATACTTCAACTTGTGTTACAGGATGCTGTTTATGAGCCAGTTCTCCTTGATGTTCAAATCGTTTAGAATGTCGAATGTTTTTCCTCTACTTGATCCATGGTATTCTAAGAATCCTATAACATTTCAATTCAACAGCTGCAATTTTTTTGCCTCAGTGTCTAAGTGAGTGTTCGTGACTCAAAAGCGTAAGTTGCCCCAGTAAAAATGCATGATCTCAAGATTTTTACTTTAACTAATTCACTAGTACTTCGCAATAGGTTCCTAATGTTGTATAATATCTGCATTGCTAATGCAAGTCTTCTTCTGACTTCTTTCGAGCAGTCGCCACTGTTGTCACTAAAGAGACCAACTGTTCGAAATGTGTTACATTTTTTTTCGATTGTTATATGTGATTGGTGTGCTGTATTTACTGAGGATATATATATATATATTTTTAAATTTAGAAAAAAGATTTAACTTTTTCGAGGTGCTTTTTGACGCTAGAACTAATTTTTCTAAACCTTGTACACTGTTGGAAAGGAGAACTGTGTCATCTAAATATCTGAGTTCTGGGATAGGATCACCTTCAATGTTTAAGTGGATCAAAGCACTCACATGCCTCATCGCTAATTGCGTTTCTCATAACATTTTCAGCATAGATGTTAAAGAGGAAAGGAGAAAGAATACAGCCCTGTCTCACTCCTTTCTGCATTTCAAACCATTTTGATGTTTCACCAGCTTCCCTGATCGCTGTTTGTTGTTCATGGTAAAGAGACTCCATTAAGTGCCACAGTTTATGGTGTTGCACACCGTCAAATGCATTGCTGCAATCTATAAAACAAGTATGAAGATCTATCGTGTATTCTCTATGTCGTGGAGTGAACAGCCAACCCTACACCGTAGACTAGTCGTGACGCTGACATCCCTAGCAGGCACGTCACATTTCACATTTAAACCCGTCAAAGGGGGGGGGGGGTATATAGTCCCTCATATTAATATATACCTCTATCTGGTGAAATAAACATTTCTATACCCTCTAGTTGTTTTGAGAAGTCTACATTTTCAAACTTGCAACTGTGGGATAAATATTTCTTGAAAATTATTCAGAAATTCCTTTAAGCCTTTTTACTTCTTCGGCACGAATACAGGACTTCTTTTCTAGAGACGCCAAGCGGAGTCTGGGGCGGGCATTCTTTTGCTTGACCTCGGAGGTGTCGGGAGACGTTTGAATTCTCTAATTAAACTTAGGCGCTTTCAAAATACCAGTTTAATCTTTGAAGGTTTCCTCAGCTTGGGTAAGTTAAATATAGTTTACGAGTACCATGATATATGTATCTTTAAAGTTGGCCACTGCTGCAGGGAGGGAAGAGTCAGCTGTGTGATCTCACAGAACTAGGCCGTCCTTGATATCCAGACACTCCAGGCCTTAAATCAAACATTTTCCCCTCGCAGTGCTGTACATGACACACACCATTGTAAAGATATTAAACCCAGCAAGTTAATTATTCTCTAACCAGACAACGGAGTTGTGTCAACTAGCAGACATATGTAAACTGGGTCATCTATCTCCACTATGTACCTCGTCTTCTATCTGGTTACTGACTTACAGACAGATAAATGAAAGGGGACATGGTCTCCTGTTCTTGAGAGTATACTCTGAGTGACTAAGAAGGGTAGCGGGAGATAAGTGGAGCTGGTGTGTGAATCTTAAGATGATTACTAATTCTGAGTTCTTTCCTGACAGGATGATATCTCCTTAGAAGCCAGGCAGACGAATCACAGTCCAACCAACAATCACCAACCCATACCATTTGTGATGACCCTGCTTTGCATGGTCTCCACGAGTACATTGTGGCAAGCAGGAAGTCCGTGCTACAAGTGACGGCACGAGATACTTGTGGCCGGTGGAGTAAGCGAGGCGAAGCCCGAGCTAGCCTCGTGGTCAGTCGATCATGAGAAGTGAGAGTAGACGGTTGTAGTATTTGAAGATGTCGTCTTTATGTCGCGAGAATGGTTAATGTTTGAATATGTCGCGAGTGATAGAATTGAGAATAATTGTTTAAGCATGTTGAATACATGGACCAGAATAAACTGATAGATTGTACAATGAAGCTGAGTGGCGTTAGTGTGTGTTGTCAACCCTAGACGTTGAAGTCGGTGTAAACCAAGGTACATTTCAAGTCTACGTCAAGGTTCATTACAAGTAGACCACGATTCATTCCAAGTTGAATCAGAATCATTTCAAGTCTACGTTTCGGTTCATTTCACCATTCCTATCACCAAAAACCTACCCCAAAACACTACCTATTGTTGCCAGAACTTCAACATGGCAGGAGCTTGTTTGTGAGTTCCAGTGGCTGAGTGACAGTATTGCAGGCCACCTGTGTCATCAATCCAAGGAATCCTTCTTCAGGAGCTTTGTTGGGCTCCAGTGCAGTTCCTTTGTCCTCATAGGTGAGACGATCAGTGGTTACCAGATCAACCAGAGGAAAAGCAATCTATTGAGTCAGCCGGTTCAAATCACCATAAACTGAGGGGAGCAGTGACCTACCAGATTGGATAAGTACATCTGAGATGACATACATGCTCTCTTTTTCCATGGCTACCTATAATTCACAGTGATGAGTCATGTACTCTTTTGAGAACTTACTCTGGCTGTTTCAACATCATCGCTGTTAAGTCCTGAACTCCATTCACTGGAAACCATCTTGATTGTCTTGATATATATATATATATATATATATATATATATATATATATATATATATATATATATATGTGTGTGTGTGTGTGTGTGTGTGTGTGTGTGTGTGTGTGTGTGTGGAAAGTATTACATTCATTTCGAAATTTTCATGGCTGACTTGGGTGTCCCTGTTTCACCATTCTAACTGTCGAGCTTTTATGTTTGTGTGATTAGTAAGTGTAATCTGTGTTAACATAGCGATGATAGTGTACTATCATAACCTGGTAGCTACCTTTTTACGGTAGTGGGGGTGTCCAGCCAAGAGTGTCTATGAATATTAGATATTCTGTAGTGCCACAGCTCGAGTTGCCCTACTCCTGAAATAAGTTGAGCGTATATTGGCCACGGGATCTCCCTTAGACCAATAGGACCAAGGAGAAATTCTTTAATCAGGCACGCGACACGAGCTGTACGTGATACTCTACATTCATAGGATGATTCTCATATTGAAAATATGGTCTCTTGTTCCCCTGCCACGCCTAAAGCCCGCTTATGTTTCTTGTAGTTCATATTCCAATTTTTTTTCAAACCTCCTTAGAATGATATGCAGAAGGATTTTGCTCGCAAAACTAATTAGAGCTATAATACGATAATTATTACATAAATTAGGATTTCTTTTTATCCGGAAGGGAAAATAAACTGATCTTTTCGACTCTTTGGGCCAGTCAGCAATGTTCCAGATTTGCACACATCGTGCATGGTATAGAATGACGCTGGCCTCTCCTCCAGCCTGAAAAAACTCTGCTGGTAAGTCGTCACATCCCGAAAATTTATCTGATTTCAGGTTCTTTATTGCTAGACATATAATAAGTTCAAACCTCATGGGATCGAATGAATCAAAAATAAACCCAGAATAAATTTATAGCAAGCTCCTCATAATTCACGAATTTCCTTTTATTTCACATGTTTACACACATTTAATGATTCGTGGCCTAAAGCTACTTAAGTGTTTGCTGCAACACTGTAAGTTTCATTTTTCATAAGAACTGCCTTTAGTCTGTGCCTGCTCTGCTTTGTGTCGGGATTTTCATAAAATGGCCGGTTAGGTTTTCAGTTAAGCTGTCTGAGTGCCTTACTCAATAATATTTGATGTCCAAGACCAGCTTGTCGGGACTGACTTCTTTCAACGATAAACTGC